TTGCACGAGCGTACTTCGCCTCGTCGGAAACGTAGATTCAAGCGTAGGATAAAAAGATGAATTAACGGATGAAGCCTCCGTGACCTTGTCTACGGCGTCAGGTATGATGCGTGTATAAATAAAAATTAATTACGCATAGATAAGGCCATGAATGTGATGGCTCCGATGAATCTGATGCAGTGAATTATCCGTGATTATGACGTAATGTTGCAATCACACATAATTCACTGCATTTTAATACAGTTATTGCAATAGAAATTGTGTGCATGCGATAAAAGATGCATGTTATCTCATATTTATTCATTTCGGAAATCTGTTATTTTCAATAATATTAATAACTTCGTGTTGCAAAAACAATCAGGTTTTAAGGAGCACATTTTTTTATAAAATAAAAACACGATAATTCCATTTCAGTAAAAAAAAAAAATTACACATCTAAACCATATTCAGAGATTGGTGCAAAATTATATACTGAATTATGTTGCATGATACACTGCATGTATATGTAATCGAGATAAAATTACAGATACATGCATCAGAAAAAAACGCATTATGAAAAACAAAAACCTGAATGTCACAATCGCAGATCATTATGTTAAAGTTTCTTCAGGATATCCTTATGTAAGCCGTGGATAATGACGGCTGCGAAATATTTTCGCCAACAAATACTAAAAGTGCGATTTGTAGCGGCGTCGTTTTTTTTTTTCGTCCGTTGTCGACGTTGATGCGCGCCTGCGAGAAGCGGACGACGCCAATAACCGGAAACGCGTAATTTCGCTGATCGATCGCCTTTTCAGCGGCGTTAGCGTAACGATCTCCTCGGGTGAACCGCGCCGGAAATCGCATACGCATCGGCGGCGCGCGGATTATCACTCACCGGGAGAATTTCAAGCGCTATCTCTCTTCTCTTCGGGAGTTGCGAACAATATATCACCGCGCGATGCACACACGGTCGTCTTGCACCACCTATCATTAGCCACGATGCCGAGGGTGATTTATCTCCGGTCTTTAGACTACCGCGTTTCGAGCTCAAATTTTTCCGCAGGTAGTCATTACCCGCGTACGAAAGTCAGCGTGACACTCGTCACGCGAGGCGTTTAAGATTTACGAAGATTGATCTCCGATTTTAAACAGCTTCAAAAAATTCCGGACCTTGGACCCACAACACGTTGAATACAGGACGCGGTACTGACGATTCCAATTTTAGCGTAATTGTCGATTTCCTTAATTAAGATATTACAACATTAGTAACTTTCAAGTAGTGAATGCTAAAAGTTCGAAAGTATTAAATGCTTCTTTCGGTTTTTTCTTGAGAAAAAGCTCATCTGAACTTTGTCGAAAGTCTTGGAGTGCCCTGTACGCGCAGATGCGTAGGTAATTATCGCGGGAAATTGGGACGCACAATAATGTGAAACGTGACAAGCCGGAGATCAACAACATGCTTATCATAATGTATACTTTGTGAGAAAAGATCCAATTTTAATTTTATAGATTGCGTCGTGAATGACGTTATATGGCAGTTTCTCTTGTTAATGGAACAGGATAACAGCACTCTTGGCCATCATAATCGGTAGTTGGTAATAATATCCAGGAAATAAAAAAGTAGCGGATGTATATACTTTCAAAGGTTTATAGCAGACTTTAGAAGCATATATTTTTAGATAAATTCCGAGACGATTTTTTCTTAATAAAAATTTTATATCGTATTTTGATCATTTAAATTCTTTTCATCAAACAAATGATAATTAACCCTAAAATTAAAATTTTAGTTAAAATTTTATAAATTAAAGTTAAATTTTAATTAAAATTAAAGTTAAATTTAAATTAAATTTTAATTAAAATTAAAGTTTAATTGAATTTAATTAACATTCCGTGATATTAAATAACGCTAAAAAATGCTCAGATTAATTAGAATAATAATTTTCATTTATAATTGATATTAAATTGTTAATCATTACTTTTTCAGTATTTAAGATACATCTATTATCGTGGTAAACAGCATTGTTATTGAAACATTATTATTTTGCATCATCAGCATAATTATAAGACAAGACAAGCAAAAATGTGCAAAATAATTATTTTAACGTAAAAAATCAGTATCCAAGCTTGATTAAATCGCTCGATTAAGCTTGTTTATTATTTGCCAACATATTAATTATTGTTACATAAGGTTTAATTGGGATTAATCGCTTTAATTATCGGAATCTTATTGTATAAAGCCGACGTATTGGAGTTCCTCGTTTCCCGCGAATTAAAGTGGCATCGCGTGCAAAGCCGAATGACTCGAAGTTCGAGTCATCATGAGGCGACCGCACACAAAGAAGATTACGACTGTCATGTATATACTTTCATACACTTGCGTCTCGTGGCACGTGAAAGGCCTACTAGCTTCACCTTTAATCGCTTATATCGTTTACGAAGGTAGGTCGTTAAAACTGTCACATACGAAATGTTTTGGCGATCGTGATGTTTACGGCTTCTTAACGAAGACAAACATTATCCCGAAGTTTAGTGGACCGATTCTAGCGCGCTATTTTCGGTACTTTCACTTTCCCCGTCCTGCTGTCAGTCCACGCGAAATTAAAGTAATTCACATATGAGGTCGCGATAACGAAGACAGAGTGACGGACAAGCTATACGCGCGCGACATTCGATACGCGACAGCTTTCTCGTTACGTTCGCGCATAAATCTTTTGCATATCGAGTTACCTTTAGTGTTCCACCTTAAGAGAGATGAATGCTTAATAATTGTGCAATACTGCACAATTCTCAATGGCGCATCGTGTCGAAGTGCACTGCAAGGTGACGGCTAATCGTGACAATCTGCATTTTATCGCTGCGTGTTATCAGTCCCGCCGTCAAATTACATTATTAACTTAATTTATCATTACGGTTGTATCTGTGCGCATGTCGCGGGCACAATGCCAACGTTAGGAATCGATTATCAGAGCTAGCAGTCAGTTGTTTAAGAACCGCAGCACGTTCTCGGCGTATATGCGGAGAAATTAATTTTAGTCAATTTGTCAATCACGCACGCGTTTATATATTGCCTCCTCGTGTAGTGAGAAAAACCTGAGCAATATTAATATTTCCCTCGCGCAACGACTTCTACCCTTTTCTTGCCCGTGTAATATATAGCCGCAATTTTTAATTGACCACAAAATTTTTTATCTCCAAGTGTATTCTCGTAATCGCCTCTCACGCTTATTAAACATTAAAGATACTGCATTTCTGTAATTAATGATATTTACCGACGAGATAACTCGATATGTCGATTCTTATCCGCGAAAGGTCAAAAGTGAACGCTAAAACCAGACGCTAAATTCTCCTCCGAAGAGAGGAACTATTTCCCAAACGAAACGTCACGAAACGTTCGTCGGAAGATCTTACGCCAATCCCATCCTCATCTCGCGCACGAGAAGCGTGAAGCCTCCTACGGTAACTCACGGCATCGTTAGATACCGCGAAAGCGCCGATTCCAAGGATATAATTAACGACACGAGCCCGGAGTCGGTAGCGAGGGATAACTTTTTTCTTTCTTCTCCCCTGCGCTCGCCTGCGCGCCGATTGGAAATGCGGTTAATGGAATCCCCGATTTCGCTTCGCACGGACAGTGGAATTATCCGCGTAGCTTCCACGTGCTACATCGTACGACCGGCACCGTCACATCACTTAGGATCGCGATCTTTTCCCGCTTCGCGCGCGTCGCAATCACGTCGGCTTACATCCTACGCTGTCTGCGCTTATCGGGCAAGTGCTCGTCCTCGTTCTCAAGTCGATTTTTTTTCATCGGCACAGACGGATCGTGAGGCCACGGACGGCCCACGAAAAATGAAAAATACATCCGCAATGATCGTTCGCCGCGGCAACGGTTCCCGGATGCACTTGTATCGGAATTACGGACTCCGCGAAGATTTTATCAAACGGTTCGAGGCGATAACTTCTCTCGATGATGATCTCAGGCAAGAACGATGGTCATCTGTTACCCAACATATGTAGGCGCGGTAATTTTATCGTTGCCCGTTTAAGTGAAATAAAATATGTAATGATAAAATAACAGTTGCGCGTGTATTGTGCCAGTTTTGACAAATTAAATTGATAAATTTCCATTCAGAAATTTTGTATTTTTTTCAATCGTAATATTTTTGTTCATCGACGACATTTGTACAGTTGAACGAGTTCAACGGAACGCTAAGCCGTCGTTTGATTAATACAGATTTTCTTTCGATAGTGGTACTCTTTATGAAACAATGTAGGCAGACAATAAAGCCATTAAATTTATGGAGCCGAGAGAGAAGCTTAGATAAACAAAAGGAGCGCGCATCGCGTTTTGAATCGCGCCAGTTCTCACAATAGGAATAAACACGAATAATAATCGTGCAACAAGGACAAGCGGCGGTGCAGATTTTCTAAAGCGCGAAAGAGCACGTATTAATAGCTGCGTTTTATTGTGGTCGCGGATCTGAGCATCTGATTTGTTGCTGCGTGTCGGAATAGGATATGTTCGCGGACTTTGAAACAGGTATAACTGTGCGTAGGCGGGCACGTCAGTCGACAGCTGCTCTTTCTCTCTCTCTCTCTTTTTCTCTCGCCACGTGAGAATTCCGTGCAACATGATTCGAGACTTGTTCGTCGCAACAACATTGCGATATTGGAGAATTTCCACTATGAGAAAGAAAAGTAGTTTGAGAGATGAAAGAAGGGAAATAACATCATTAAAATGTTCTGTAAGGACATCAAATGACTAATTATACGAAAGCAGTAACTTTGTGTTCAAAATAATCGAAAATATTTGAATAAGAATATTCGAATTTGGCACTTTTTCGGCAAATTCGTTATTGAATAAATCTGTATCGAAAACAATTTAATTACGTCGCTGTTTGATGCTTTCAACAATTATAGATATTTCTTATGCGCGCTAGGCACAAAGATTGATATTGCTGATTTGTTGTCAAATATTAAGTACTCGATATTATACGGAAAAGACTACAGAGACTCACGTCGTCCCTATCTTCGTGCAGCTCGTCGTCAGGGTTCTCCTCGAGAACGAACCCGACCTCGTTGTTATTTCTCGTGAGCGACGGTAGCTTCCTCGGCGTCAGCTCGTCGCCGTCCGTATCTCTCTTGCGCTTGCCGTCCCGATGCTCGTTGAGCGCGGCTTCGTGCTCCTCCAACATGTCGGTGACCATCAGTTCCGATTCGACGCTCGTCGGGGACACGACTTCGTCGAGCGGTGACATCGTCGCTGCACGGTCGGCTTCGCCGCTCTCCAGAACGGACATGGTGGGCCCCGATGTCCGCCGTGATAATGTCGCGCTATCTTGCCCGCCGGAATTCGCGCAAATCCGACGAGACGGTCGCCGGCAGCCGATAGGCGACAGCGAGGCACCAGCTGATATCGTGTGAATACAGATGCGCGCACATAGAGCCGCCTTTCACCGTTTAATCTCGTTCGTTCATGAGCTCAATTATCGGAAGACGCCAAGAAAATTATCTGATTAATTCCCGGTCGGTTTTAACGAACTCGTATCGTCGCAAAAAGACCCGAAAATCGAGTCCGCGCCAGTTTTTCGTTCCTACTTCCGACGATGATGATGTAAGGAGCTGATAATGAGACATCGATAGTGAAAGTCTCGTGGACGATTCAATCAATCGGTATGTTTACCGATACGCTCGTCGAACGACGCGAGTATCATTCAATAATCGTTTAATGAGGGAGGAATGCGCGAGGCAGTTTGCTTTCGTCGTTAAACTTCGGCCAATTACGAAGAGTCCGACATGTCAGTATTCGCATGTACATTTGTGAAGTTACATCGTCGACGGCAATCTTCCCTGATTATTTCCTGATGATATAATGATCGTCCATTAACCGCATAAACTCCGTTTATTTGAGAGAAATATCCAGAAATTCGTTCGTGAATTAAACGTGCAGACTCGCGCGTTCCTTTAAGCGAGGACGCTCGCTAAAAAGCGTTTCGCAAGTTTTTCGTTCAAATTTCGTTTTGGCTCCGTTCAAATTTTGCCGTACAAGCCGACAAGCATTAAACCGGCCATTAATCGCGGTGATGCGCACCTTCCTCTTGCGATCATCATCGTTTGATTACGTTTAATTTCAAGCGCATATGAACACCATCGTATGCGGACTGCTCAAACACCGGTTTTACAGTCAATAAGAGGCACAATTAGTACGCTTTACCCTTTCGAGTGCACGCGTGCAACTCGCCTGCAAAAAGGACAGTTTGAAAAGAAGACGATTGCAGGCCGAGCGTCGGATGCTGCGCTCCGGATGGCGATTGCGGCAAAAAGTTCGTCGATCAATAGGAACGTTTTGGTTTATTTTTAAGTTTCCTTTCAACCTGTCTTAACCTGTCTTAACAGAGATAATATATTTCTCCGAATGTCGAAAAAAGGTTTTCGCAGAAAAATTCCAACAAGTCACCGCACTGCATGCACGACGTGTTTGCGTTGAACTTCGGAGCATCTATGACGACGCGTTTACAATGGCACGGCAATAATTGTATGCAAATTTGCTGTCAGGCGTAACTTTCACCATCGCCGAAGAGCCATCGAGGGGGAACTACGCTGTTCTCGGCGCGCGTTATATTCCGCTCAATTAAGAGCGCTTAAACGTCAGCGGTATTTGCGAACAGCTGTCAGCGCGCCGTCCCGCTCCGGCTTCGACATCTCGATCGCGCGCGATGAGGAATCGCGATGTAGTCGCTTTAATAAGACTTCGGTAATGTAATAGTAGTACAAGCGTGGTGGATTCGCGCTTAGCAGGCAATCATGCGTACGTCAATCACAGCGCGGAACGATAACTACCGTCGCATCATTATTCGCGCGAATCATCATTGTGATTTCGATCCACGCTGTTGGATCTCGCGCGCTCGTGAAATTTCGTCGCGTTGAAAACACGCGGTTCAATGCCTCCTGATCTTGCGTCACGATCGCCCCGGGACCGTGTCTCGCGTTCACGCGATGCGTCACGAGTCTTCGAACGAGTTCCGGCGAGCTACGTTTCGAGACCGATCAAGGGGGACGACCTCGCGCCTATGCGCGCATTCAACTCTCCGGCTCCACGTGCGATACGCAACGCGCACCGGAATTCGCTGTGGTTCCCTCCGCGCGTTAGCCGCGGTTCAGACAGCAGCTCCAGCTGTTTGGTGATGCGAAATTAAATGGCATCACGTCAGACGGGAATTTTCCTCGTAGCCGGACGTCGCGGCGATTCGAGCGTCTCGTTACGCGTCATCATTTACGCGCTCGCGTCGCTTCGTAGACCGTTAATTTTTCCTCGCCGTCGATAAAATAATGTTGCTGAACTGTATAAGAAACGTTCGAAAACTTGGTGCGGCAATTCTTCTTCAGATTTGTGGCGATTCGATTGAGTGATCAGTTATCGGCGTCCGCTAACGATATATATATATACAATAACACACGCTTGCGCGTATCGAATGGCGCAGAAACCGCAGTGACCGAAAGTCACGTGGCAGGCGAGCACCTTGGCGAGTCAGTGCCGGCTACGGTTCTCACAATCGTTAGCTTGATCGCTCGACCCAGCCCGATTTCACCGCGGGAATCGAAACGTAAACGGCGGCCACCGTTGTTCGATCGACGCGCACGGCGCGCGGACATAACGATATTCTCTCTCGGTTTACGACGGCCGGCGTAATTCGATCCTTTGCAATAAATCACACGTTTACAGAGATCCTCGAGTGCTTCTCTCCTGCGCGAGGATCCACGAGCGATCACAGTTCAGCTTCCAAAAATCTTCACTGCCGATGGCTGATCCGTCGATATGTCGTGGGAAACTTTATTATTCTTCGTCTCCGTAAATCTGCTCCGCAAACGGAAGTCACCACTTTTTTCGAATCTCTCTCGCTTGGTAACGGGAGAAGCTTTGCGGCGAGAATGCGATCGATCAATCTTGGTGGACCACGTGGTCGCGCGCACTGTCACGTGGAGGACGGAGAGGCGACAGCGAAGCACATCGTCGTCGTTGGCGATTAATGCGCGCCCGGCAGCGGGCGGAGCGGGAGCACCGTCGCCGTATCGACGCTCCGCGAGGTCACTTTCAGGTGGATTCACCCGATAACAGTGATAAGGTGCGCACTCTTTTTCAAACGCGCGCGATTATCGAACGAAGGTCGACGAGGACCGATCGGGCGACACCGTGTTGGCGCGCGCGCCTCTCGAGAATGGCCTAGAGGCGAAAAGAGGAAAGGATCTCCTCGAGTGGCGCCGCCCGCGGCAGGAGGGGGCACGATTCTCTCTCTCTCTCTCTCTCGCTCCCTCGTGCAGGGAGCAAGTGTTGGAGCTCCGCACTACATGCCCGGTGGACCACTACCATCACCGTCGCGGCCGACCATCACCGCCGCACACTTACCGACCTCGCGTCGTCCGCCGTCACCAACACCATCACCAGCTGTCGCGTTCGCCGTCTCGTTTCAGCGTCGGTCTCGAGTCGGTCGACGCCGCTTCCGTTCCGAGGAACGGCTTCTACGACCTGCGTCTCTCTCTCTCTCTCTCCTTTTCTCCCCCGCTCTTCCCTCGCCTGCCTCCTTCCGCGTCGTTTCCTCCGCGGCGTACCTCCTCTTCAATCGCGAGATGACTGGTCGTCTCCGTTCGACCACAGCGAGACTAGACCGCACGGTGTCTCCTTTTCCCTCGTTGCCTCGTTGCGCGAGAGTGCGCGATGTCTCTTGCGGATCGAGAAGGATCGCCGCTGCTTGGGCGGGACGATTTAACATTTTCCTTTCGGTGGAACGTTTGATGTTTCCTCTCTCATTCGTCTCCCCGCTTCTTCCTGGTCGCCGGAACGTGTTCGGGAAACGACGCGATCCCGCGGGACGTGCCTGCCGATGAACTCGAGTGTATACTTATCTCGCATCGCTTTGTCGCTTCCTCTTCGCAGATATGACGGCCGAGCTTATATATACGTGCCGCGGCACGCCCGGTTGAATCGCCCGATCGAATCAATTTGTCGGATGCGATCAAAATCCTTTTGGATTTATTCGACCGTGATTCTATATATACTCCGTATTTTTCCTCCGTGCGCTGAGCCTCCGATTATGTGATTTATATACACAATTCTTTATTGTGTGTCACACATTCACAGGCGCGACGTAAACATGCTAATAATTATTTCACTTCTTATTATATTTAACTTGTATATTTTTTAATTCTTCGGTCTTTAGAGAGATCGAATAAAGTTCATCCTATCAATAACATTCTATCAATAATATATTTATAATTTTTTAGGCCTATCACGTCAAATTTTTTATTATATATATATTACGCTTGAATAAATCATGTTCAGTCAAAAATAATTTCCTTCTCGTACTAACATAGATGGTTACTTTTCCTCCTGTATTATGCGAGGTCGATGGATCTTCGCAATCCCTTTCTTGATAGTTCTAGCATCTTTCTCATTCCCATCGCGCCGAGGTATTTTCGTACTGCGTATCATCGGTTTACGACGGCGCGTAATCTCCACAACAGGTATCCACTCCTTGTCTATCTTCGGTCGCAGATCGTTACTAACGACGCACGGATCTGTCGGCTCTCGCGCGGCCCACATCGATCCGATCTAACGTTAGATCACTTTGAACCGGTCTTTCTCTTTCTCTCTTTCTCCCTCTCGTTATCTCCGTTGCCGGCTCTCCCAATTAGCTTCACGCGTATAACGCACGCTTTCTGATGTTGCGCGAGCGGGAGCATAACTATCGAACCTAATCCCAGTGGCGTCGCAACAAAGTCTAATCTGATAATTGATTTATTCGAAATGATAAAATGATTGAACGCGATGAACGGGTTGAAGAAAAATGGGATTAAAGACGAATCAAAGGTCGACTTCCGCTTCTAAAATACATTTCCGTATTCATGGTACGGAAAAAAATAGTACTGTTCGAAACTTTCCTGTTAGAAAAAAATTAATAGAAAATTTTTAATAATTACATTTTTCTATGTGTGACCTGAATCTTGCTGTGTAAATTGGCGAAGTTAAAAATACTATAAAAAATTGATTATATATCGTATAAAAAGCAATGAAATTGTGTATCACATTAAAAATCAAAGATACATGTAAAACTGATAAATATACGAATAATTAAAATAAGACACAGATATAAATAGAAGACAGCATAAGCGGTCGGTAATGAGCGTATAATCAATCATATTCCCGTGTCATTCGTGTTTCTTTCCGGTATCGAGCCTAACATATCATCCAACTCTGCGAGTTCAAAGTGCAATCGATAAAACGCGATTACACCACGCGTTCAAGGCGTATGACTTATGCATGACTTAAGCACAGCGTGAAGGATCGTCACTCATCTTTATATATCTTCCATCGGCTATTAATTGTTTACGGGAATCAGTCAGCAAATTAATGTTGATTAATGCCGGGTGCGTTGAGTCAATACGGTGTATAATAAAATCGCGTTGTTTTTGCGTCGTTAAGTCCAATCCGGCCAATTTAGCGGCGTACGTCAGCAGGATTATACGCGTGAATGTGCGCGAACGGGTGCAGAGACGGGACGTCGGGTGGTACATGGTCCGTGCATTCCTCCTCACGTTAACCCAAATGCGGACGCGGCGACGACGAAGGCGAAATTAGAGTCGCTCATTAAGAAAGAACGCAACGCCGCGCAATAAGCGGGCGCTCACTTCAGCCGCAATAAACTCGTCTAGAATACACCGGTTTCTCCATGTACAGTCGAGCGGCGAAAAGTCGCGACATTTTTTTTTTTTTGACGAATTTTGAAACGCGCCAGAATCGCACGCGATTCCCGCGCGTTCCAAAACTTCTGAAAATAAAAAGAGAAATGTCGCAACTCTTTTGCTCGCGTCGCTAACGGTTTTGAAACGGTTTCGCTGTCGTGCAGTTCGATCATAATTTGCGAAAAATACACAGCTGTAGAATACGAGCGATTCCGATATTAATACGGCATCACCGGGCTGGGAATTTGTATATTAACATTCATAGCCGCAAGAAACAAGTTTAAAGCTGTGGTGCGGCATTATAAATAATTTTTTTAATGACTTCGTTCTGATTTTGATATTTGTACAATACATATTAAATGCGTTACTTATGTTCTGCGTTAATGCGTTTTCTATAAGTTTCAGCTTTTATATACTATCGACTCGTGAGATCGATCATTATCTTCACATAGTAATCCTTTAATTACTACGATAAAGCTTGATTTGTCGCTCGTTTCTCAATACTCTCTTTTCCCGATTCGCCGCTATTAACAACGTCGGGCTGTAAGAATCGTTCGAACATTTACATGATTTAACTTTACGACCGTTTGCCTTGTAACATCCGCTTTTAAATACGAGGGGATTGAAGGCTATAAACAGATGTAAGTTAGAAACCGATGCACGAAATTAATCCATTAAAGCGAGCTCGCGGCGATGTACTTGCGCAATCGGTGATCCAAGTCGATCGTACGATCGATTGCAATAATCGTACGTACATTTCACGGCTAAATTTCTCTGTAAAAATTAAGGAATACGGTTTTTCGTTTGAACGGTTAATTTTATGTTTGCTTTATAATATGAAAATTGAATTATTTGCGAACGTATCAGAGATAGCTAATGCATCCGGTTGACGTATGGCCAACAAAGACGCATCGCGCGAATTCTTCGCGCGGAATTCGTCGCGGCGATTGATACGCCTTAACGAACAAAAATATTCAGGTCAGGTGAGTAGCGGCCGGCAGCAACGGGCCCGACGATTCACGAGAGGCTGGCCCTTCTCAGCATACCAAGACAGATCATTTTTTCCGCCCCCCCCCTCTGCCCCTCCTTTGCCTTCCCCTCCTGTTCCCTTTTGCTTTATGCGCACCTGTCCAGACTGGACGGATGGTATTCTGATCTTGGTTCTTGCGAGTAAACCCGGCGCCTCTTTTTCGACTCGAGTGCTTTTACGGACTGTATTTTTCCTTGCCAAAAGCACATTGCTTGCCAACACTTTGAATTTATATTTCTGAGAAATATTGCAATAAATAGATCTCGAGTAGCAAAAATAAAACTAATTTCGATGATTACTCGTTTTTAATACAGATGATAAAAGCTCGTGTTGCTCTTAAACAACGCTTTCTGACGAGTAAAAATTATATTTTAATTAACGAAATTAAAAGTTGCAAAATATGTGAAACATAAACAAGATGTTTCAGAACGATAAATAAAAAGTTAACTGAGAAATTCAGAAAAAATTTTTTAATCTATATATATATATATAAATAAAATAAAGTCTATATTTCAAGACTTTTTACCTTTTTGTGAGTTTTATCATCTAATTAAATATGTATATCGTGAAATATCTTATACAAAATGCAAATTGCAAATCTTTCATAATCTTTCTTAAAAAATGTTATTTAAGACTTCAAAACGGGAAATTTTTGGTACATTATTTAAGATCAGTTACAATTCAAACCGGTATCACGGTCTAACTACATAAGACGGATCAAAATTTTTTTAAAGGCATTCGAGTAAAATTTATGCTCTTTCGGTAAAAGAAAGCAGTCGATATTAGTGGGAATAACTTATGAAGTGTTTACAAATGTGTTTCGAGATAGAGATTATCGAATTCTATAAACATGTTTCGTAATCCCTCTCTTTTTCTCTCCCCTTCCATTCACCAGTTTCTTCTGAAGAAGCCGAATTCTTATCGTCGCATGAGTTAAGAATTCCTTCTTGTCGCCATCCACGTTTTCGTGGGATCATTCACCGCCGAGAACAGCCGCGATCATCGGCCACGCGCGAAAAAACCACGCGGAGGGTGGAAGAAGCGTCGCGTCAAGTTATCCGGCGCGCGAGGAGGAGAGAGCGTCGAGAAGGAGATACATTTTTCAGATTATAACCGACCTGCTCTCGATAATACACGAGTACGTCGATGGCGCCGAAAGGGACGGCGAACGACGGAGCGACGGCGGCGCTGGCATTCCCGGGAGAAATCTTTGAGCATATTTTCACGTCTATTCTGAGGGCGCGTCTCTGCCGGATGCAGATAGCGGCGGCCGTGTCGCGGGATGTGTGGCCACGTATGGGTGGCGCACAATATTCCCCTGATGGTGAAGGCCATCCAACCTGCACGATACGACGTAATACTCGCCGGGATAATATATTGCTGTACAAATGGCATCTAACCTTCCTTCCCCTCCCCCCGCCCGTGCCCGCCGCGCCCTCGTACCTGGCACGACCGCTTATCTCCGCTCGATTTTCACGACAGCGCCGTCATCCTCGCGGTGCGTCGGTGACGTCGTTGTCGTAGGCGGTCTCTGGAAGTGCAAAATTAGCGAGGCGAAATTGCGAAAGGAGGAACGAATCGCTAGGACGCTTATCTCGCGCTG